CAGGGTCGCATGATCCCCTTGTGTTGCTAATGTCGCTCGGGCGAACGGTTGAAGGATCTTCTCAATTATTCGGAGCCGGGCCCAATCTTCCGGCAATAGAAAATCCGCAGAAAGATCTTCGAAATGATTCTTGGTGTAGGTGTCCAGAGCGCTGGCAGTTTCCTGCTGAGTGGCAACATGCAGCATTTGATACCAGCTATTCCACCTCGTACGATTGTCAAGTGGAATGCCCCTTTCAGCGAGTTCCATAAACTCTCCACTGCGTCCTGATGAACTCCGGATGTTGACAACCAGGTTGTGGAGCTTACCAAGTGGTCCAAGGCGGCGAAATTCGGTGCGCTGCCTTTGAACTTTTGCCAGGTCATCTGCGTCTTCGCATATTTCGCCCTCTTTCAAGTCAATAGAATTCTGGAACAGGAAAGCTTGAACTGCTAAGTTGATAACGTGGCCTAGGCATCGGAGGCGGTGAACTTCAGGATCCCATTTGACGCCCTCTTCCTTGAGATACGTGCTCACTGCCCGGCAGAGGGTGTCATTCGTGCTCGAATTATCCCCAACGATGCTTCCAAGGCGTCGCAGAATACCAAAGTCCCGCAAGATGGGAAGAAGTGTAACGAATTGCTCCTCCCGGAATGGTTCGCCACAGGCCGAAGTGCAAGGAGAGCTTTCCGTCGTGCTTCTTGTGCGTGGTCAACAAAGTGGGAGCAAACTCCGAGAAGAAGGAGCCGATTGGGGGACGTCCAAATGTCAAGCGAGAGGTGAACCTTGGATTTTGCTGACTGGAGCTTCATTCGCACGATATCCTTGGCCGACTGGAAATGATTGTCGATAATTCGTGGAATAGTCGAGTGGGCGGAAGGGAGATGGTCCTTCGCGACCGGGTTCAAGGTCGAAATGAAGAGGTGAAATTCGCGGGATTCGACAATTCGATAAGGAAGGTTTCGTGCGACGATCAGCCAAGCTAAGGCTTTGTTTATCTTGTCTTGGTCCAGGTAGCGTTTGAAGACCTCCGACTCAATCTCCGTTGTGCGGCCCAAGTCCCGTGCTTGCTGGTAGAGTTGCTCAAACCCCTCAAAGATGGACGATTGAAGAGGGGTCAAATCTTCCACGACTCGAATATCGTGCTTACCCTCCAGATGTTTTCGAAAGTTAGTGGTAACTGAAGTGCTGTACGTGTTCGTCTGGGGACAATGGCTGCAATAGAGAAGGCGATTTCGGCCCTTAAACTCTTCCTCCCCCTCTGCTGCAACGCGAGCATGCTTCCACGTTGCGATAGCCGCTTTGCCTCTTGTATTGCGAGATCTTGATGTCGTAGAGTCCGACAAAATAGATTCAGCATCGAAGAAGGATAGTGTCAGAGGGAGCAGACTGACGGTCTAATCCGCACACGTATAAACTCCGGTGAAAGAGGCAGGTCAGACACAAGGACTTGAGTCAGGTATCGATACAGTAGAGGAACATTGCCCTAATCGGGATACACGGGAATTGGCACTGATTCAGGGCCACCACGGGTCCCAGATTGGTATCTATTCGTATAAATACCCCCTCAATGTCGCACAGATAGATAGAAAACATGCATCATCGTTTGGACTCAATTGTGCCTGCCCTTATCCTTCCGCCCGCGCTCTCAGCTTGCTGAGAGTTATGAGCTTCAGGACAAGAAAGGGCCTATAATACGCGTTAGTAACACCTCTATCGGGGGTGCCCTCATTTTGCATGGTGTAGCGGTATTTTACCAGCTTGACAGATAGCACACTTGCAGAATCCATAGTTCGACAACTGATTCGTCCGACGCGTTGGTGCAAAGTGGTGGGGAAAGCGATTTGTGTTTGTGTGGGAATTAGCGGGGTTCAAGGCCCTCAGACCCCTGGAGGATGGCGCTGTAGGGGTCCCGGTCAGTGGCGCAATTTGGCCAATTATTGACTGAGCATTGAAATACTATGGATCCATATCCATACCCTGTCCATGCCATAGTATGGAAAGGGTATTTCCATACTTGGGTATGGAAAACCACCCTGCCCAGGACAGAGATAACACTAGGACACACATGGTCCCAGCACACATACGGTCCCAGGACAAATATGGCTCCAGCACACACGGTCCTGGGACCGATATGACCGCAACACACATATGTTCCCAGGACACACGCATGGTCCCAGGACATATACTGTCCTAGGACACATACGATCCTAGGACGAAAATGGATCCCAGGACACAGATAGTCCTAGGACAGATACGGTCCCAGGACACGTACAATCCCAGGACATGTATGGACCCAGGGCACATGCGGTCCCGGGACATACACGGTCCCAGGACACATATGATCCTAGGACTAAAATGGATCCCAGGACATAGATAGTCCTAGGACACATGCGGTCCCGGAACACACACGGTCCAAGGATACATACGGTCCCAGGACACACACGGTCCCAGGACATATATGATCCTAGGACGAAAATGGATCCTAGGACACAGATGGTCCCAGGACACACACGGTCCTAGGACACAGATGGTCCTAGGACAGATACGGTCCCAGGACACAGATGGTCCCAAGACAGATACGGTCCCAGGATAGATACGGTCCTAGGACGCGTACGATCCCAGTACACGTATGGTCCCAGGACACATGCGGTCCCGGAACACACATGGTCCAAGGACACATATGATCCCAGGACGAAAATGAATCCCAGGACACATATGGCCCCAGGACAGATACGGTCCCAGGACAAATACGAATTCTGCCACACACGGTACATCAGCCTCCAATGGCCTGGCTCCCTAATTCGCACAGTAGCCACTGTGTCACCACCTTAACAGTCACAGAACCTTCCATCAGCTTCTAGTCACTCATTCGGATCTCATTGGCTGCCGTTGGCTGCCGGCCTCATGTATCTTTGGCCCCCTGGCTCCCATCGACACACGCGGAAATGGCCTGTTCTGACATTGGGCTTTCTGCCGAGCTCTCCACTTTCCTTGCTAATTGGTTTGGAGCTGGAGGCTCTTCACAGCGCGCTGCATATGAGAGCGGATTTTGCCCGCGCTGCCGATGTGGCCAACCCGGCGCAGAGTGCCCAAGCCTAGCTACGGGTCTGTAGGTTGAGGTAGCACTAAGTGTGCAGGGGTATCAGGGCCCACTTAAGGCTACGAAATGCGAATAGGAAGTGGTTCCGCTTTGTCTCCATATTTGACTCCAATTATCAGCGGGCCAAGAGAAGTGACACCCCCTCTTCGGGTCTTGCCATAGGGCGGGCTGACAGGGTAATTAGCGCCATGCGCCAACCTGACGTGACTCAATTCAGGGCTGCAGATATAATCGTAGGCTTTAACCGTGCTGTACCTCCTGTCTCCACTTTCTGCTCCACTTTCTTTCGTCCCATGCAGAAGCCTGTTTCCCCCTATAAGTGCAAAATATGGTCCAGGACGAGGAAGGCGGCGGCAACAAAGAGTGCATTTCCCCGTTCCGCTTTGGTTATTCATGACTCGTGATTGGTGAGCACTATCGTTGCATTGTTGGTCTGTTGTGATGCTAATGCATCGTCGCAGTTCGTTAGTGGGCGCCATTTTAACCTACTGGGATGCACTAGCGTATCACAGCGCATGGACCAGACGGAGGCTTGAGTGCGATTATCGATAGGAGCTAGCGTAGGATTTTGAGAGCAACAGGTCAGACTGCAGGTCCAGGTAGCATGCAAAACACATGTCTGTAGGTTAGTTGGTTCACACCGACTTGAGTAACCTACATACATTCGATGCGTAGCACGTGAATGCGGCTTGCTGTGCGACTACGGCAAAGTCGCCTCCCTTCCTCGCTCCACCTCTTTGGCAGTTGGGGCAGTACCGGTATTACTCGTCTTCGCTTATCGATATGGAAGCCAAATAGCTCACGACTATCGCCCGGTTCTAGTTCAAAATACGACATGTTCACATATAGACGCAGTCTTCGCCGAAAAGGGAACCTCGCGCCTCGTATATGCGTATAACTCCGTTACTAGTTGCAAGGCTGCAACAAACCAAGAACCAACAACCGGCCTCTAAGGCCAATCGGAGGTGTCCCGCCCCTGTAGGGCATTCACTGCCCACCTAACCAACACCCTTCAGCACGAGCGTGCATCATGAAAAAGATGTGGGGCCTGGCTGCAGCGCAAAGTCTTGCAGAACAAGTGCTATTAGAAGTGGAAGCACATTGTGGCTGCAGCGTGGCAGCTCGCAGAGCGATGACATCAAGGTTGCTACGAGCCCAATAAGCCACAGCGACGAGGTGAAAATGATACTGCCGACGACGCACGAGACAGGCTGGCCGATCCGGAGCATGCTCTTGGTGCGATGTGACCTTCAGGCGGAGCAGGTGGCAACGCATCAGCGGATTTGACAGCGCCACTCCTGCGGCTGCCGGATCGAGACCTGATGGTAGTATGGGTGTATATAGAGGGGAAGAGTGGGGGAGGCAATGTAGATATGATCGTATCGAGGTACTATGGAGTACAACAGGAGAGAGGAGGAAGGAAGGGAAGCTGGGCGACGCGGGGTCTCGGAGTCGTTGGTGACAAAGTGACTAGGAGCCAGAATCTACATTGCCAGACAGCGTCCGCTTCGAGATGCATTTCAGCAGCTCTACTTTTGGGTATATGTACATAAACACCCATAGTTCCGTGTTGCTCCTAATACTGCAGTTGGTTCTCAATGCGAGGTAGTGACCGCAAGGTGGACGTGCGTTGCTGCAAGTTGGTTCTAGGTTATAGGAGGCAGCCCCGCATGCGTCTAGGGTAGAACGGTAAGGGACGAGCGGGTGGACAATTGTCAGTCAGCTTCCTTGCTGGCCTGGCTACCTATAGGTACCTAGTTGACTCGACCATGAGCCGTTCTTCGCGACAATAAATACCCCCTTTTATATTTGATATACGCCTATGTTATATATTAAGAGAGACTAGTTATACCGTTAAATTTATTAGTACTATCTTTCCTCTATAAGCGGCGCCATAAGCGGCAGTATAAGCGGCAGTATGAGCGACTCTACCGCCGGTGACGGCATCTTGTGCTCGATGTCAGACCAAAAGGGGATAGATAAATATCATCGCTAATAGTATCGACGGCGTCATAGTGGTGGAGATCTTAACATCAGACCTCAACTACCGCGGCTTCAAGGTCATACATACGTCATTTTCACTAGGTCTAATCAGACAGCGAAATTGTCTTTTCTCCGACGCATTCGGCACTAGAGCTTCGTTAATGTATACGCCATCCTCCCCCTCGGACACGTGGACGAGGCCATCGTCTATTTCGACATTATGCCCGTAATCTAAGACCCCGCGTCGCCCAGCTTCCCTTCCTTCCTCTTCCTCTCTCCTATTATAATGGCGTCGTCTACGTCTCCGAGGGGGAGATAGCGTATACATTAACGAAGCTCTTGTGCCGAATGCGTCGGAGAAGAGACAATTTCGCTCTCTGATTGGACCCGGTGAAAATAACGCATGACCTTGAAGCCGCGGTAGTTGAGGTCTGATGTTAAGATCTCCACTACTATACCGCCGTCGATATCTTTACCGATGATATTTATCCCCTTTTGCTGCAGTGGCTTCGCACAAACGTCCGGCTGGTGAACCAGGAGCCCAAGCTGTTTAGCGGCACCATCTTCCAGAACGTCGTCGACGGGCTCACCGGCACCGACAAAGACGGCCTCGCCGGGGAGGAGAAGCAAAGGCTCGTGACGGAGGCTTGCAAGGCCGCCTACGCCCACGAGTTTATTGAGCGTCTGCCGAATGTAAGAGACGGCCCCCCCTTCTCTCTTGCTTACTCGCTCTCATATACTCCCATCTTTTTTTCCTCTAGGGCTATAAGACGTATATTAGCGAGCGCGGCGCCTCGCTGTCGGGTGGGCAGAAGCGGCGCATCGTCATCGCGCGAAGCATCGTCTCGAACCCAAAGGTGCTGCTCCTCGACGAGGCCACGAGCGCTCTCGACCCCAATGCCGAGAAGATTGTCCAGGCCGCCCTCAACAATGTTGCCAGGGGCCGGACTATGGTGGTGATTGCGCACCGGCTATCGACGGTCCGCGACGCCGACAACATCGTCGTCATATCCAAGGGTGAGGCGGTCGAGAGCGGCTCGCACGAGCAGCTAATTGGGCGCGGCGGCGCCTATGCGCGGCTCGTCAAGGCCCAGGACCTGAGCAAGGGGGTCGACAAGGCCGACGACCACCAAGAGGCCGCCGAGGACAAGGACGTGGCGCCGGCGGACCTCGACGTGGCACCGACGCATGGCTCCACGCCCGCGGATCCAGCGGCCGGGGCCGGGGCACAGTGGGACCATGGGCGATACGGCCTGCTCCACGGGCTACTGTTCATTCTCCGGGAGCAGCGGTCGCTGTGGCGGCCGCTGGCGGTCACGCTCGTTTGCTGTCTCGTCGGCGGCGGCACCTACCCAGCGCTCGCCATTCTTTTAGCCAAGACCCTAAAGGCCTTCCAGACCATGGATGTGTCGCGCGGTAACTTCTTGGCCCTAATGTTCTTGGTCGTTGCGTTTGGAAACTCTGTCGTGTACTTTTTTCTTGGATGGTTTTCCAATGTGCTCGCGCAGGTAAGGGGGCCCTGTATCATTGAACTTTGTATACGAGCAGAGAAGCTGGTATAGCTTCGCCTCTCTCCCAAGACGGTCATGAAGCACTATCGTACCCAAGTTTTCAACGACACGCTCCGCCAGGGTATGAACTTTTTTGACCGGCCCGATAACTCAACGGGCGCGCTTATATCGCGTATCGCGACGGAGCCGACGTCGCTACAGCAGCTACTCTCTAGTGACGTGCCGCTACTAGCCATGAACGGGGTCAACCTGGTGTCGTCTTCGGTGGTGGCTATTGCCCATGGGTGGAGGCTCGGGCTAGTGCTAGCACTCGGGGCGCTTCCGATACTCGTCGGCGCCGGCTTCGTACGGGTCCGGCTCGAGTTCCGTTTCGAGCAAGATGCGGCGGCGCTCTTTGCCCGTAGTAGCGGCGTGGTGGTCGAGGCTGTTATGGGCATCCGTACCATTTCGTCGCTAGCCCTCGAGCGGGTTATTGTCGACCGCTACGAGGTCGGTCTGCAGGGCATCGCCGCCCAGGCTATCGGCGACCTAGGCTTTAAGATGCTCTTTTACGCCCTTACCCAGTCCGTCTCCTTCCTCGCCATGGCCCTCGGCTTCTGGTACGGTGGCCGGCTCGTTTCGACGGGTGAGTACTCGACGACGCAGTTCTACACCATCTTTATGGCCATCATCTACTCGAGCGAGGCGGCCGCCGTGCTGTTCCAGTACTCGTCGAGCATGACCAAGGCGCGCATCGCCATCAACTACATCCTGGGCCTGCGCCGCCAACTTGAGCTGGTCGACGACCAAGATGACGCCGACAGTCAAGCTCCTGGCCAGGGCGGCGGCAACACGACTGGGGAAAAGGACGCGGCAGCGCAGGGTGTCGAGGTGCGGTGCCAAGGCGTCGAGTTCGCCTACCCGCTTCGGCCACGGCACCGGGTGCTCCGGGGCATGGAGCTCGACGTCAGGTCCGGCAAAATGGTGGCGCTGGTGGGTGCATCGGGGTGCGGCAAGTCGACCGTCGTCTCCTTACTCGAGCGCTTCTACGACCCGATGGCCGGCACGGTGCTGGCCGACGGTCGGGAAGTCCGGACGCTGGGCCGGCGGCGGTACCGGCGCGACATGGGGCTGGTACAGCAGGAGCCCGTGCTGTACCAAGGCTCCATCCGCGACAATGTGGCCCTGGGAGGCGGCGCCCGGGGCCAGGGCCGGCGCAGAAGGGGCGCCGAGGAGCAGCAGCCGTTGTCCGAGGCCGAGGTCGTGGCTGCGTGCCGGGCCGCCGATATATGGGACTTCATCGCCTCCCTTCCGCAGGGGTTCGACACCCCCTGCGGCCCTCAGGGCCTCTCACTCTCGGGCGGGCAGCGGCAGCCCATCGCCATCGCCCGGGCGCTGGCGGGGCGGCCGCGGCTGTTGCTCCTGGACGAGGCGACGAGCGCCCTTGACAGCGAGTCGGAAAGGGTGGTCCAGCAGGCCCTGGCCCGCGCCGCCGCCGGCCGCACCGCCGTCGCCGTCGCCCACCGCCTCAGCACTGTGCGCAATGCCGACGCCATTGCCGTCGTTGCCCGTGGCGCCGTCGCCGAGCTGGGCACGCACGACGAGCTCGTCGCCCGGAGGGGGCTATACTATCAGATGGTCCTGAGCCAGTCGCTCGACCGCGAGGCTGCCTGATGACTCGTTTCCCAGGAGCACTCACGTCCTGACGGAGTTTCTTCCCCGACCCGTTTTTGGGCTTCGGCGGGACGAGCGTGGGAAGCAAAACTTCTTTAGCTGCTCACTTCGAATTTCTCAACTGCGCACCTCAGACTGATTCACTGCCCCAATCTCTTCCCTGCGGGGCTCGGCACCCAGGAGGACACACAGCCTCTGTGTCTTCAGCTTCTGCCTAGAGACTTGGACAGGCATTCCAGTCATTTAAATGTCAGTCAGTAGGGTGGCAAACAACTCAATCAACTCAACCAAACGGTCAAATTGAGGAAATTGACGGCTTTCATCAGCGAACCTCTCGTTGAGTTGAGAAATCCGTGGCCCTCGTTGCGTTGATTGCGTTGATTCACGGGATTGATGCTCTACCCTACCTATGGTAAGCTACTCCTGATGTCCTTTGAGCTGAGCTGAATTGTCGACCTCTTCACGGTCCAAGCCATCATCAAAAGGTGTGAGGTGCAGCGCTCGGTTGGCCATCCTTGACGTTAAAGCCATGAGTAGATCTGCATCAATTTGGGGGAGTCGTGCTTGGGGTGAGCTTCGGCTCAGGAGGAACAGAATCGACGGCAGATATGAGACGGGGTTGAGACGAGGTGTTCGCGTCTTGATTCTGCAAAACATTGTGATCCTCGAGTATGGGTGGTTCTGTATGGAGCGAGGTGGCTGAGGCGGGCAAAGCATCGGCAGGGTCTCTGAGGGATAAAACTGGCGACGATGTCCTCGTAGCAGCTGGCCGTCTTGATTGATCGATGCCAGATGGACCGCACAGACGGGCCTTTCTAGTAGTTTCGGCCGTCTCAGATTCCCGAGGATCGGTACTCGGGAGAAATTGTTAGCCGGTCGCTCGCCCCAAAGCTGCTTTGGGATTGCTGACCTCCACACCGTTCGGTGGCAATGGCTATTCGAGTCTACCTAAGTAAGACTAAGTTGTCCTGGTGCCGGAATAAGCTAGGCGACGTTAGAGCAATAGACGATATCGCTATAGAGATATAGACCTAGCGACTAAAGACGTGCTTCGGAAGGGGCTAATATACACTCTATGACCTAGAGAGCGGTCTTATAGCCTTAAAGAGAAGCTATAGCTGCGTAGGGCTTTACGTTTACGTTATCCCTATTATATAACGCGGGAAGCTGCTATACACGGCTCCGACGTAAGATCGAGCAACTAGCCGCACTAAGCCGACTAAACGCGCTTAACGTTTAGGTATATAAGGATAAGGGATATTCTATTTCTATTAGGAATTTATTCCGATATTTAGAAATATTAGCGAATTTAGGATTATAGTATATAAGGGATAGGTGATCGCTGCCTTTAGAATAAAAGAAGATTAGGAAACGCGTGCTAAGCCGATAGCTCTACGGTAACTATAACCTAGCGACTTTAACTAGTACTTATAAGACGATAAAACTGCTAAGAAGTAAAAGAGAGACGAGCTCTTTAATTTCGTATTAAAGACCGACTCTTAGATTCGATACTTAAAGAGCTAAAATTTTAAGACTATATATATTAGAGCGCGATATAATTATAGAATATTACCGGATAGTTATTTCTTCGTTAGTAAGCTAACACGTTTTACCTTTATAGACACTTTCTTAGGGGAATTAGCGCCCCTATATAACTAAATTATCGGACCGCTAGCGCGAACGATTACTTAGGTGCTCTTAGCGTAAGGTTTTCGTATTATTATTAAGTAACTATAACGGTATAAGTGCACGAATAAGGTCGGGTGCGACTTAGGTAAAGTAATTATCTATAAAGAGGGAAAGAGGTTCCTAAGGAAGACTCTAACTTTCGCTATTTATATAGATTAAAGTAAGATATTTTATAAAGTATAAAAGTTATATAATCGTTCCCTTATATTAATAGGTAGACGATACTATATAAATACCGGAGCTATAATAAAATAATAAATTATATTTACGTCTAAAAGCTCTATTTCTTCTTAAAGTACGCTAACGCCGATAAGTATCGGTATACGTATACTTCCCGCCTTCTAGCGTTCTCGTCCTCTAAAAGATAACTAAGCCTTACCTCTTAAGTTAGAGTTAGGCTATATTTCTCTAAATACTCCTTAGACTATCTTAGTAATAGCTTTATTGCCCGTTTAGGTAGCTCTAGCGTAGTATTAAACTTATAACTAAGTAAAAGGTATATCGTTAAATAGGGAGTGTTTCGGTAAAGCAGGTAACTACGATATACGGACCTACCTACCTACTATACCTATAAACGTAACTTTCCCCTTATAACCGTATAACTTAAGACTCGGAGTAGTCTATCTAGTACTTTTCCCTTCTTACGTATATCTAGGTTACTTTCCTAGTACGTTAAAATAGCGGCGTTGTTCTCTTACTAGATTCTCTCCTTAGATTCCTAAGTTTCTATACTATCTCCTTACTAGTAAGAGAGCTAAACTTTTATAAGGAGCTATTCTTATAGCTTTAGTATACGCGATAACCGATAATTATATCGAGCTTTAGTCGCGCTTTATCGGTTAGGGAGTAGTATTCGATATCGTATAATCGGTAGTCGTCGTACTCGCTCCGCTACTTACTTTTTACTATCCTCTTAATATACTATTTAGCTTAGGACGTAGGATACCTAACGTTTTATATAAGAAACCTAGATTAACTATCGTCGCGAAGATCGTGTCCTATAACTAAAATAGCGCCGGGGACACTATCTTTATCTATCGCTAGCGGGCGCTTCTATAACTCTCGCTCCTTCTCTTTCTTTAGCCTATTATAGAGCTTCTATCCCTTCCCCCTATAGCCCTAGTACGTACATACCGCTATAGAGGATGCCCTCTAGATAATAAACTCGCGTATCTAATAATATTTACTATCCTATAGGAGATAGTATAGCTCGATATATAGAGTAACTTCTAAGTTAACTTCGGACATCCGGTAACTTTTAATATACTATAGATGCTCCTCTAAATTATTAATCTAGAAATCGGATAGTTCCGCTAACCCGTCCTTAACGTTTAAAGCCTAGTCTAGAGTTTCTTTAGCCCGCGAAGTAAGTAACTTATTAGAGAATATAGGTAGTTATACCTTCGCGGCTACTAAGGCTTTTAGTATCGGAAACCTCGTACTTAGACTTCTTCTATCTCTTACTAGCTCGTCCGAGGGGGCTAGCGTCCTACTAAGAGCTTTAAGGCTTCGATAGTCCCGAATCCCTAGCTTATCGGCCTTTAGCATCGATATAGTCGATATTGCTTTTAAAGTTACTATCTTTATTACCGTTATTATATCGATTTCTATAAAGCGATGCTTTTAGCGTGCTTTAGCTAGTAACTAAAATATAACTTATACGATCTTAGCTAGCTAATATTATAGTCGTGCGGCTAGGGCTAAGTTTTAAACGCGTGCTTTCGTTTCTTATTATTCTAGGGTCTACTATAGGAACTCTAGTTTCGGTGTCGTCTTAGGCCTTGCCTTAGTCCTTCTACTACGTAGCAATAAATTTTCGTCTAGTAGGGAATATACGCGCTTTCTTAGACTAGCTAGGATACGGCTCCGTAGCTATAACGAATAACTATAAGAGAATCCTATCCGAAATTAGCACGCGTCCTACGGTTTATCTCGGCCCCTCTCCCCCTTCTACTTTAGCGTTAGTATACTAATAGCTACCGTTAGATACTATCGGCGGCCCTATATAACTATGCCCCCCTAGCTTCTATAGATATACGCGGAAATAGTCTATTTTAACTATAGGCTGCCCTTTCCTTACTTATTAACTTAGGGCTAGAGTCTCCTTATAGCGCGCTATATATAGAGCGGGTTTTACCTCGCTACCGATAAAGTATAGCGTAGTAAACCGGTATAGAGTGCCTAAGACTAGCAGCTATAGGTCTATAGGTTAAGGTAGCACTAATAAGTATAGTATAGGCGTCTTAGGGCCCGCTTAGCTTCGAGACGCGAATAGGAAATAGTTCTGCTACTTATCCCTATATTTAACTATAGTAATTAGCGGGCTTAGAGAAGTAGGCTAAAATAGAAGTAAGTCCCTCTTTATTAGCCTTATTTATCAGGGCGAAGAATTCTTTACTATCTTCTTAGTATCCTAAGCTTAGCGACTAGTCTATATTAATAGATCGTACTATAGCTTAACTTCGCTAGTAGTACTAAGCTATAAATAAAGCAACCTACTTTTTAGTATATAAAATTATCTTTATTATAGTAAGAAAGTAAGCTGCGCGAGTAATATTACTACCTACCGCTAGGTAGCTATTATAACTACGGTCTAGCGAACCGCGGGGACTAATATATATTACGAGGTTATATAACGTAGGGAGTAAGGAATATTAGATAGACCGACGGACTAATTAAGTTTAGAGCGACGGGTTACTTTAGCGCTCTAACGCTTTACGGCTAGGATCGTAGGATCGCTCTAGCGCTTTAGCGCTCTTAAACGACGGGATTACCTAGCGCTCTTAACGATCTAGGGAAGCTCTTAAGATATATAAGGAAGGAACGGAATACTCCTTTAAATAGATAGCTTAATAGCTTTTAATATTATAATTATTACGATCTCTATTACGATCTTATCTTTAATTTTAATTACTTAATTACTTAGTTATAGTCTATAGTCTATAACCTCTAACTTATTACTAACGTAATATATATATTATTATATAGACTATGCCCTATTATATCTACTAATATAAACCCCTTAATAAGCTTATCCCTTAAGAATAATACTAGTTATTATACGTTAAAAGCTCTTATTTAGTATAATACCGCGTTCCTTTAAGTAATATCGTAACTATTAATATACCTATATAGTAAGCTAGATTAACTAACTCTAGAGCTACTATATTACCTTAGGATATAATACGCGAGATTATTACCCTTTAATATAAGGTATAATTACTTAGGAATAAAGGAGGCAACGGATAAGTTAAGGACCTTAGAGAAGTAGTTAAACTAAAATAGCACCCTCGTAGTATAGTAGTTATATA